GTTGCGATGATAATATTAAGAGCTGTTGATTTATGAAATTCATGTACTTTAGTTTCTAATTATGCAGTTGTCCATGTACGCTGAAATGAAGCCTCAGGTCGCCAGGTCAGACCAGTGCTGTATTAATGATTTCTCTCCAGCCAAAACCGTGGCAGATCACCACATTTTTCTGGGAGGCAGTAACAGAATAATTCGGATGGCTGTTTTAGCCTTTGTACTTGGCTCAAGATTGCTGTCTTATTTAGTGCTGTACGGTAGATTTTCCTTCAAATTAAGTTGTTCTAAGGACAAACGGGTTACTAAAATATAAACAAAACCCAAGAGTTTGAAAGGGAACCTGCTGATTAAAATGTGCTGAGAACTAATGAGCGGAGGTAGAGCGTGTACATTCATATTCCTCTGCTCGACTGGAAGTGACTGAAGTGGAGGAAACAAAATAGCTGCAACATGTAAAACATTTCCAAGAAGATCTTCACTGAGAATAAAAAGGTATTGATGAAAAACTAACAGCAGTGGTGTCTCCCAAACAATCGTTTCAGGACATTGTGTTCTCTCTCCTCCACTGTGTGTGAGTAAATGAATAATCCGTGACGGACATGAGAATGTCTGGGAAGGGGAGAATTGGGATCTCTCGAGTGAGATGAGGGGGAACTAGCCTCTGGGGAGTGTCTTCTTCCCTGGAGAAAGTTGGTTTCTTTTCAGTTTCTCCTGTTACTTTACTGGAGAGGAGAGGCAAGGCTGCAGCATGTTAAATTTGAATAATACAGATTTGCTTGTGGATTGTGCAAACTTTAAAAAAAAAAATAGCGCAACCGTATTGAGAATGCCATTAACTCGCAGCGGCAGTCTTTTTTCAAAGACAGGGTACCAGTTTAAGGTATACAGCCTACTGTCTTTAAAATCCAACTGGGCAAACCTCTTAGAACTGAAAATTTCTTGGTGCTTATTAGCACCATGCTTCAGGGATTCACACAAATGTTCCAAGCAGGTAGAGGTCATAGAATTAACACATCTTGGCTGAGACACACTTGAGCATGTTTTGTGTTTTGGTTTTGCCTGTCTTGGAAGGGGATTGTGATAGAGAAGTAAGAACCAATGTAAATACACATATTTCTGTAAGCATGTTCCTGTATAGGAACAAGAGCACTTCTGGCTTGTTTAAACTACTTGTGTCCCCATACCATCCCCACAGTTCCACCCATACAACTGTCCTAATGTAATATTGGCCCAGCTAAGGAACTAATCCAATATAAGACTACAGATTTACAGAGATCTTTAACCTCTATCAGTTCTCAAATCCAGTTCACCTTTTAGCCCTATAAATACAGGTACTGAAGGAGCAGCATGGGGATGGGAACAGCCAGTTCGGGGCAGTTGGGGCAGGCATAGCTGCCACGCTTCCTAAGGGACCTTCACCGCAAACATCAGCATATTAGCATGTGGGCACGATTTCACTAAAGTTTAAACTAACTTTTTCAACGTTGCAGCTAAAAGCGTATCCATTTTGATTGAAGGCACAAGAGTGGGGGTTTGTCAAGCTGCAGTATTTCACGTTCATGTCATGTTCAGCCGTGTGCCTGTCCCTCAGCTCCAGCCTAGCCGTGCGGGGAGGAGGGATGGAGGAGGCTCTCTTGAGCCATGCGCCTGGCTCCTCGGCAAGCCTCCCAGCTCCCGTGGCCTGACGTGCAAGTTGTGTTGCTGGCCTGTGGAGACTGGGACTTGTGTCTTCTCACGTTTGGTTTATGAATGACGTAAAGCTCTGTTAGGTAAGTGAAGTGGGATGTAGAAAAAAAAAAAATCCACCCTCCCAGTATATTTCAGCTATCACCCTGAAAAGCCAGAAAGATTTTTCATGGCTGTGCTTTATTAACCACCGTGCTTATGGCATCCCACAGCATCTGAGAAGGAGAACTCATTGTCCCTATTCAGATGGAGAACAAAGTACAGGCTGGAAGAAGGTGACAGGGAGACAGAGAACATGGGAGCTTTTCTATACACAGATTAAGTCAACTTTTAAATGCGTAAGAGATTAAGTCCTTACAAACAAGCTCGAAGTTGGCTTGTTCTTAAGAAAATGTATGGAACAGGGCCTGGATAAAGCACAGTGAATAATATCAGGCATGCCAAGAATGCATAGGTATATAGAGCTCACATTTAAATGTGCTTTTTAAAGTATGTTTAGATTTAAAAAAAATCAATCTGCAATAATATGGACAAATTATCTTCCTTTAGACAATTTTTAACGTATGCAGACATCTCAGGAGCAATGTGCAATCATGCTGATTGATTCAATTTCACTGCAGTCCTTCAGCAGAAAACCTGGAAGACTGAAAAAAGATTACAGGATAAGTCTCCAAGTCTACAGCTGTCTACATCAAATAACTACACTATTTTTAAAAATAACAGAAATAATTATGGAGGAGTATAAGGTGCCTTCTTTAGACATGAGGAAAATACTACATTATTATCAAAAAATCACTAGTATTTTGAAGTTAAAATACTTCATATTCATTATGTTTCTTACATCATGATCTGCATCTTCAAACGCAATTACAAAGCATTATTGTCATAGTAAAGCCTAACAGCAATTGCATTTGATTGTCTTAGTAATCAGCCTTTCTTCTTCCAAAACTGGAAGCCCTCTTTCTTCAAAGATGGTTGAATCTCAGAAGTTTAGTTGTGCTTCCATTACAGTCTTGTGTATTGAACATGGATGCAAGCTTTTCCATAATGGTTTTTGCTTTCATTACAGATGTTTTTTGAGATAGAGCAGTAAAAAGGGGGATTAATTAATTAATTATTAGTCCAATTCCCAAATAGCAGGATGCGCTCAAGTGTTTTGCCAGATCACTTTTTCAGCGTTAAAAATCTTTAATCATGTTCAAAAGGTGAAAGTGTAATTTCAGCACTAAGTCATTGGTATTCACCATACAAATATGTCTCTCAAGTGTACCGTAAGCCCAAACTGGGGTATGGGTGTGCTTGTGCGGTAGCTGGTAAAGTAGCTTTATCCTCCCTTGTTTACCTAGCTCCACAGATGATTACAAAGAGGGCATTAGTCTAAAATAGTGCATTGCCTCTTTTTTGCTGTCTGTTGCCCTTGGATCAGGGTCAGACAAGTCTCAGCACTTCTGTGAGTACTGCAGTGGTTTCTCAGCCAGCTGCCTGAGCTACAAGAAGTGGGGAGGGAGAGACAGAGTAGTCTTGTCTCTTCAGTCTTATCGCTGTCCGAAACACGTGCTTTGTTCATCGTGCAGTGAGTCCCGAGAGATTTCACTCCGTGAGAACAGGTCTGTGGCACTCTTGTGAAACGTGCCGTAGCTGCTTATGTGAGCCTCAAAAATGTGGGACAGGAGGCAGTCCTTAAAACTGTGTAAGTGTAAGTTGGGGGGGGGCGGGGGGAATTCTTCTTTGGAAATTATCTCTAAAATCTCCTCTTAAAAACTTGTGGGCATAGATCTTTGATTTCCAATCAAGGTTAGGGGCTCACTAAAACTCGGTGGGGGTAGTAAGTCCCATTAGTCCTCAGAATACATTTCCAGCAATTTAAATTACCTGAACATTTCTTTTTATTACAGATGATTCTTGATCTCTCTGTTTGTACTTCCGTGGATTTCAATCGTAATGTAATATGAATTGATTTCTGTCCCTGAGAGCTAATGACAGACCCAGTTTCTTTGAAATGCTCAAATTGGTTATACTCTGTATCTCATGCGAAGCCAAAGGACTTATTATCCAGGATAAAGCTAGCACCTAGATAGGGAGGTCAAAACCAAATCTCTTTGTTGGCTTCCTGGTGATTTCAAATCCACTGAAATGGTTAAGATATTTGAAGAAGTGTACTAAATCATCAGAAAAACTATGTGATCCTACGCGGTGAATTTTATGTTCTCCAGATTCAGGACTATTGCAAGTAAGACCTTGTTCCCCAGCGGAGGCGAAGCGGGTTGACGCAAGATGCTGGGTGCTTCCTCTTTATTTAGCTTCACCCCTGTTCTGCTCAGCACCCAGAGGGTCAGGATCTCAGTTAGAAATTGCTGGCTAACATATGACTATTACTGAGAAGCGTTTATCTGAGCAGAGCAATTGAAAATAGGAGTCAGATTCTCTCTAGCAACCTGTACTTTTTTTTTCTTCTTTTTTTTTTTAATATATTAAGTGACATTGATTTTGTTCTGCATTACATTGTTGAGAAGTTTGTGTGTGCTGATGTTTGGTCTTGTCAATGGAAGTATTTTGGAAGTCGCTTCCTTAGTGCTGTGTCTTTTTCTTCTACTCAGCCTGCCCTTGGGCAGAGCTGGCACTGCGGGCGTCCCCCAGAGCTCCTAAGCTGGCATCCTTTTCCATCCTCCATCTCCCCCTCGCTATAATCATGCATCCCCTGTGCCTTTTCACTCATAGACCACCATGTATTCTCTCTGGATCTGTTTCTGTCTCTGCTGTTCGGCTGTCTGTAAACTCTTCAAAGCTGAGAAGTGTGTAATATATTACACATATATTATGCAATCCATATGTTCTGATTCAAATAGAGTTACTCTGGGTTAAGATGGCACAGATGAGTGTAAGATGTGGTCTTTAGCTCTTAATGTGTGAATAAAGTCCAAATCAAGCAATAAAACACTCAAAGTATTAATCTTGTTTTAAGCACACTTTTAAACCAGCAGCACACGCCAGGTACTGTAGCAGAACACAGGTGGAATCTGTTTTGATTACTAGGTAGCAGGAAATGCATTGGCAGATGTTTTTTCTGATAATTCCCATAATTCTTTTGCAAGGTAAGTATTAGTTGCAAAAGGGACAACGAACTTCTGCTTTTCCTAGCCTACTACTCATCGTTAGCGTGTTCATAACATGCTGTTTTTATATTTGCCTTTAACAGCTCTGCAAAGCACGTTGTGCCAGTTTTCCCAATATTGTTACGTTGCCCTGGTATGTGTAGTAGCCAGAAACATCAGTGCCACTCCAGTGTAATTACATGTTCTCATTTTCATTGTTTCCAGGTTTATTCCGATTTATAGAGGACCAAGTCATACGTACAAGATACAGAGGCTGACAGAATCCACTTGTTACTCATTCAGAATACAGGCAGTCAATGATGCTGGGGAGGGACCTTTCTCAGAAATATGTACCTTCTGCACAACTAAGTCAGTCCCACCTGCGATCAAAGGTGCGTAATAGATTTTTTTACGTATCCATAAGTAACGTGTAAGTATTTAAGTAACTGGTAAGTATGCAGTGAGTTTGTAAGGGTTAACATAAGTATGCAATAACACATGTGAAAAATCAGTTTGTGCTGCTTGTGTATTTCTGTGAATTGCAAAGTTACATTAGGGTGGGAAGCTAAATTATCACCAAAAAATTCATATAAACAATATAACTATTATACCAACCACTGTTATTATACATAAGCTGTTAAAATGCTGCTGCTAACAATAGTGTTTACCAAGGGATTGCTCTGGATACTGCAGCACTTCAATAAGGGATGTAACAGCTTTAGAATATATGTGTATGTACCAGCTTAAGCATTAGTAAAGTTGCATGCTGTTTTAAGTTATGTAGGTGATGTTCAGCATAGCACTTCAGAGTTTATTTTTCCCTTAATTTATAAAATTAATAATGATATTTCACATACATAAAGCATTAGATTCTTTATCTCACTTAGCATGTGTTCCCCTAGAAGAACAAAAGGCCTAATTAAATGAAGTTTTATAATGAAATGTTTTTTACTGTGTGTAAATTTTGGTCTAAGTAATTTTGCTCCTTCCTTCCAAGGAGAACTATTACAAAGACAGCGGATTTGCTATATCAGCTGTCAGATAAACTGAGCTGAAATCAGATGCACCTTTTTTCCCCCCCGTGCTTAAAACTCCTTTGTCAAGCAGTACCATTTACTGTGAGAAACAGCAACTGTTAGGTTGTCAGAGAGGTTTCATTTGCTCAGCTGTATGTAAAATCTGGCTTTGGTGATTTTCACACCATTTGTTATCAAAGGTTTAGAAAGGGGAAAACACTGCTGGGGTGTAATTTCCCTGGTCCCTAAGTTAGCTGCTCCGATTCAGCCCCAGAAAGAACAACACTCTTGAGTGCAGAGAGAACATTAGGAGATTGGCTTCACTATGCTAAAATCAGCGCATGCGAGAATCCCACCTCCGTTTCTACCTGGATATCCCCTGGGTTTTGGCATTTGCTTCAGTGCTGTTTCTGGAAGAAGATATCTGGATGTGTTTGGTGTAAAGTTCAAGGGTAAATATACTTACCCAACAGTGAATTATTCTGATTCACTCTGTTACGCAGTTGTAAGATATGCTACCCAGCAAAACAAAAGGACCTCATGCTAGGTGAACCAGGCTGGCGTAGGTGACAGTAGCAGGGACGGTGTGCTTCACAGCTTTAGCTTCATCTGCAAGTTGTCCGAGCGCCTGGGCACAGGCGCGTGTCACTCACGGATGCTGAGTCCACGTTGCTGTTGCTGTTGCTTCTCTTAGCTGCACTAAGTGGATAAAACTAGCACAGGGATGCCGGCGTGCACTGTAGTCACATTTGCATCTTGTTGGATAGCAAACCATTTTATTAAATTTGGATCTCGCCTGGGTTTTTGTTTTGAACTGCCTGCCTATTTAGTTCCCGTTAAATATGACTCATACCCTGGACTGAACATCAAGCAGTTAGACATGGTGCAAATACCAGGTCGCGTGTGGGCTGGGACCACATGTACATGAGAAAATACTGGCTCTCACAGAGAAAAGGGCACAACAAAAACTGCGTTAGTGAACGCTGCCGTGGGGCGGTAATGCCATAGGGAAGAGAGATCTGTTGAGGCAAAATGATGGTGTTGATTGCCTTCCGTGTTTGGCGCAGGAATGTAGGTGATAAACTTAGTACAGTTTTTCATGTCTCAGAAGCACACGTTTATTCTCCTATAAATTATCCTAATTACTCACTTAGCGATGCCAACCCTAAAATAGCATTATTGTTAATGGCAGTGTTTTGTAAGTGTCAGACAAAAATCTACATGTATCAGGCTGAGGGATGGAAGGAGAAGGGAAAATAATTGAGAATGTTGTTGTCAGCTGAGATGAAGGCATCTATTATCAGTCTCTCAACACTGGCAGATGTGCAGAGAGAAGCAAATGGATATTGATTACATTTGGGTCTGTGTATGATTCATGTGTTCCTCTTGGGTGGTAACGAATTAGTCTAAAATTCATGTAATGTATGCAGCAGCAGCATTTGTTTCTTTGATAGACTCTCCTGTTGTCTGTTTTCATAGGGTTGGGACTCTATTTTGCCTTTAACAAGCTCATGTCCTTGCACGTGTACACGTTAACCACTTGGTAAAGTGTTTAGCACTTAGTTTCTCCCAGTTTCATTTTTTTGGTCATGTGCTGGCTTGCTCTGCCTAATAAAAGAGGTTGGTGGACCCTGGATGCTGTCAGAGTTGTTTTGATGCCTTCCAGTGGCAGATGCTTAGTTGTACATAGAAACATGCTGCCGCTGTTAGTACGCTGCTCGGCTCACCTGCAAGCTTGCCGTCAGGCATCGTACGGTGTCTTTTCAGCTGAGAGATCCTTTCCCAAGGACAGCAGCATTGTAACAGCTGACAAATTGAATTTCTTAGAGTTCTTGTGAAAGCACTAGTCTAAGCCTGGCTAGAAATAGCAGGTCTGGTCATCTGAATGTCAAGCTCAGAATTAGATAAGAGTCCAAGTCTTTAAAATTATGCTTCCACTTTTGCTTCCCAGACTGGACGTAATCTCTCATACAGATGATTATTTAGCTTCCCTTCTCACATTCCTTCTCCTATTTGTCCTGAATGAAATGTTTGATATTATTACTCTCTTTCAATGACATGTAGCGTGGGAGGAATACGCAGGCATCTCCACTGGCACAGGTGTTTGCTCAGAACTTCGTGAAATTACTGCTTTTATTAATGCCGGTGTAATGCATGCGTTGGCTTCTGCTTTGAAAAGATCAGTGCACAGCACTGCAATTGAATTTTAAAAGTTCAAAGTTTTCTATCACATCCACTCCCCCTTTCCAGCAGCTCACACAGCTGACAGATGAGAGATGCTCTCACAGCTCACTGTCCTTCTGCAGGAGTGATCTGGGTCCTACAGTAAACTTCTTAGCAGCTTGTTAATCAGCTCTAAATTTTGCCCAATTTTCTGTGAGCAGGGTTTGTTATTGTTTAATACCACAAGAATCCTGAACTGCTTAATCAGACAAGACTGTCCTGAAATAAATGTGACTTTTGAGTGACTTAAAAATGCAGCCCCGGTTTTACTTCTTTCATCCAGTGGTGATAGCAATTTGATTTTTTGCCACATAATACAGTACAGATTATGTGCTACTAACCCCTGTGATGTCCTGAAGTTCTCTTTTTAAAATGTTCTCATATATACTACAGCGCGCGTAAAATGAATAAGATGTCAATGCAGTCTTTATATTAAAAGTTAACGTTAATTCATTTTATTGTAGCCCCTCGAGTGACACAGCTGGGAGGAAATGCCTGTGAAATTACCTGGGAAACGGTCCCACCCATGAAGGGAGATCCTGTTAGTTACGTTCTGCAGGTACTGGTTGGAAGAGAATCTGAATACAAACAGGTAGGAAAATGGTCTCGTTTTGATATTGCTAAATTGATGATATAATGGAAATGGTTTCGAACATCCGCTGTGCTGCTTCTTTCTACTGTATTGAATTACACCCTACGGTGATGCGTCATGAACTTTGATAAAGGCTGAGTCAAAATTAAGGGCTGTAATAGGTTGTTTTCTCCCCAGAGGGAGTATATAGAACATCATTATCTTATTGGGTGATTTGTGCTCTGTCCATAGTTAATCACTATTTCTAGCTGAACTAACCTTTAAGAAGTTACAATTCTGCCCACCCATGCTTTCTGCTGAACTGGCTGGTGCTAACTGTTGTCTGAAGATAAGAAGATGAAGTAGGCAGGTTATCTTCCTCATTCACTAAGCCGATTCCAAGACCCTCCATCAAGGATGTCGGTCAAGTACACAGCTTTTAATTGGCTTGTTCAGCCATCCCGTTCCTGTCTAAGGTTTTGACGCAAGGATGTGTAACGGCTGTATATCAGCTGCCCCACAGAAACTGTGTCCAGTCTTGCACCGTGGAAACAAAGTGAAGGAAGTACGGCTGATCCTTCTTTCCTTGTCTGTCGTGATAAGAGACCACAAGTGGACATTTCCCTTGTGAAACAGAACAGCTCATTCACAGCTAGATGTTTTATTTCATCTGTCACACCTCTGACTGTGATTTACAGTGCACTTCATCTGTGCCCTGTCTTTTCCCTGTCCTTTCATTGTCATACAGATTCCAAGTAAGTCCAAATTAGGGAATGAGATATGTTAAACATTAAATTAAATTCTTAAAAATGTGAATAAGGTAGTACTTTGTGACTGTCCTTGCTGCTCTTCAGTCTATTTTTGAGTGTTACTGCAAATTAATGAGTTATCAAAAATAATGTAAATAAACGCAAGACAGTTCACGTGGGTGCTAAGGACTCAGAAACCTAACCATTGTTTTTGTCGGGAAACATTTTTGGTGCTGGTATAGGTAATAAAACCTCCGTGTACTGTGTTGGCCTCATAATGTCCGTGGTAAGTGGATAAGTGGACCCATTTTGCTGTTGCCTGATTCACAAAGTAGCCTTGATGTGTAACCTCCCCGTACAGCTTTAGTAAGCATAGCTTCAGTGCTTAAAATGTTCTGGATGTCCTTGGGGAGAATTGGGCACGGCTTTGTGTTCCTTTAAGGCAGGTGATGGTTTAATCTTCACAGTCAAGAAATCGCTGTATGAAAAAGCCCAGCAATAAAGGAAACAAAGCACCTTCAGGTTCATATGTTGAAGGTCTTCATTTCTCATGAAGCATGACCCTGCTGAGGGGTGTTTTGGTGAGTTTTCACAAGCGGCTCACTAACAGAAGCTCCCGGCAGGGATGCTCAAAGCTGACACTGTGACTTCTGTAGTTGGGCTGGCTGATAACCAGCAGTGGAAGACGGGGAGTTCCACTGTTTCATGGTCTCAGAAATCAGTTTCACCCATCAAAATTATTTATCGTCATCACAGACGCGGGTGTCTTCTCAGCACTGGGGCACATCGCTGACTTACTGTCCATTAGCTGAGCTGCAGTAGCTGTGTGCACGTGCTCTTAGCTCCTGTTATGTGAATAGGAGATAAAATATATAAACGTCTCGGTGATTTTCTGGCTAATGCATTTCACTTTACCTTTGCTGTGGCATGTGTGTGATCACTTGCTACTCTTTAGCTGAAAAGTAATTTTAGTGATATGTTAATCACGTTTTAAGTGCAAGTCTTAAATTTACTGTTTTGTTCCCTGCAGGTGATATATTTTGCATATGTATCTCAGGGGGCATATTATATTAGAAAAGTTTTGCAAATTGTTTTGAAGGGTTGCACAAATTAAAAATATTGTAGATTTTCAGGGTATTAAATATACCCATGAGAAAGAACAGTGTTTTAAGTGATTGGCATTTCTATAGCAGTCGCCAGTGCCTTTTGCAAAAGCCAGGGATAGTATAGCTGGGTAAGAAGGAGAAAAATAGCTGCATGAAATAATTTTTTATGTCCCACTGGCATGGAAAGAAATGCGACAAATAGCGATTTCAAGTTATTTATGGGCTATGCAGGACTTCATATCACATGTAGAGTCTCTCATCCTCAGATGCTTTCACCTTCACTCACCCTCCAGGACACAGTTGTGAACAGTTTCATAGAATAAAAATCCACTTTTAAAATTACTTTAGAATGGAAACTTTTCAATTAATGAACATATAAAGCTGTTTCTCTCTTATAAGCCTGTAATCCTGTCAATAGATCACTTAATTTGCAGCAATTTAAAGGCAACTATTTAAGGCAAGGCCTTCAAGAGTTTTAACTAGGAAGACATGTTACAAATCCATGGAGCCACCAAAACCAGTTTCCTCATTTTATCTTAAAGTTCTAATTCTTGCTTTTAGTGTTTAAATGAGTAAAAGCTTATGACTCTAAGCTCTTGTGCAGGTATCTCCTGGAGCAGAACAAACCAATTAAAGTGCAAAGCTTTTGCTAAGCATTACTGTCTGTAGAAGTGACTATGCATGGCAGAAATCAAGATGATTATGCATGTAAATTTTTTTTTTTTTTTTTTAATAGGGAATGGGAGAATGTTTATATGTCTATGTTTTCCCCCAGGGAAATTTTACAAAGATATTTTTATTCTTTTGCCTTCTGTGATACTGGCTTAGCATTCATACTGTGTTACGGATTTTAAACTGGTGTGATGGTGTTTTAATTGACAAGAATGTTGTATGCTTTACATAGTAGATTTTAGTCTTTTCATCCAAATAAAACCTTGGAAAAGGTCCTTTCATTGTGAAAACTGACTTAGAAATTTTTAATGATGATTGTGTTTGACTTTTCGAGCGCGACTATGTCCCATGGCTGTTTGGGGAACAGTTGTGCACACGGAGTGGCATGGCGTTGAGCGTGTGGACTTGATCAGAAACTCAGGCAGCACAGATGAGACACTCGATTCCTATTTCTGGGAAGATTTTACATTACAGATCTTGATCCAGATCTTTGCTAGGAAGCCCTTCAGAAGGTGCAGAATGTGGTGTTCTCCCATATTAATTTAATTAGATATATTAAATAGAAGAGAAAATCCACCTGAGCACTTTGTGTTGACTAAGCATGAAGTAGTCTGCTTCATTTTACTCTGGCACAAAGTCAGGTGCCCACTGAAATAAGTGGCCATGTTTCACTTCCCTTATTCACACAGCGTAGCTCTTGGTACATGGCACTGGTTTTTCTGGGACTGCCTGTGGACTGGTATCAGGTAGGGCATCGTAACATGTCTAGTGTGTTTTGTATCTAAAGTGAATAAATATAGAGAACTCATTATGAAATAAAACATTATGAGGAGTGGCTGAGGAAACTGGGATTGTTTAGCCTGGAGAAGAGGAGGCTGAGAGGAGACCTTATTGCTCTCTACAACTACCTGAAAGGAGGGTGTAGTGAGGTGGGTGTTGGTCTCTTCTCCCAAGCAACTAGCAATAGGACAAGAGGAAATGGCCTCAAGTTGTGTCAGGGGAGGTTTAGATTGGATATTGGGAAAAATTTCTTTACTGAAAGAGCGGTCAAGCATTGGAACAGGCTGCCCAGAGAGGTGGTGGAGTCCCCATCCCTGGAGGGGTTCAAAAAACGGGCAGACGTGGCACTTTGGGACATGGTTTAGTGGACATGGGGGTGTTGGGTTGATGGTTGGACTGATGATCTTAGAGGTCCTTTCCAACCTTAGTGATTCTATTCTAGTTTTACTTTCATTAAAAAATAATCCAGCCACCAAGCCAGGAAACGTGAAATTAATTATTACTCTACCCTTAATTGGTTTAGTGGTGGACATGGCAGTGTTAGGTTAACGGTTGGACTGGATGATCTTAAAGGTCTTTTCCAACCTAAACGATTCTATGATTAACAGGAGAAAACAAAGTCTTATAGCCATCTGTTAACTCTCCAACTTTGAGCTCCTTATAAATCTATTGCTGTGAATGCCATCCTAGAGATGAAGCTCTTGAGAGATACAAGGACACCTAGGAGCAGCCCACTGGTCTGTGCTTGCACCTGGCTTACATTATAGAAACAAGTTCAAGTTATCGAAAATAATGATCTTTGTTAACTTACAAAGTAAGCTAAATCGCTTTAGCATTTCCTTCTTCTGCTGCAATGTGAGCCGCTGATGGGTTCTTGGGTAAAGCTCTAGTTTCTCTCTAGATCACCACACCTGAGGTGCCTCCCTCCCCCCGTAGCCCGATGTATGCAGCCCTCCGCCTCCCAACAGCCACTGCTCCTCCACCATTTGACCTAGCAGAGGTGGTATCAAAGTACTCAAAAGTCCTTTTTTTCAGACTGGGGCTATAGCCATCCCTGTCCTCCTCTGGGAGAACATGTAAGTATTTCTCTGCTGAGAATTGTCTGAAGAACTGGATTTGCAGGAGCTGAACAGATAACAATTCAGCTCCCTAAAAACCATGTTAAAAAAAATACTAAATACTCCTTTTCCTGTTTCTTAAGCGATGTGTTCCTTTTTCTGTATTTGAACACTTTATCTATTCGGATACTTCAAAAAGCCATGTCATTATGACATTACAGTTCTTTTTAGGAAATTACGAATCAGGATGTAAATCACGGCAGATTGCAGGAATCCGTGGCCCAGGTCTGTTTTCCTGTTTCTTGCAGTTTCATCTAGCAAAGCTTACTCAGTTAGAACTTAGCTTTCAAGTGTGTTAAAATCGCTTCCAGCTTTGCATAGTTTTAATCTGGAGCTCAGGGAGCGGGCTGGGTTGTGCAGTGCAGGAGCTGAAGCTGGAGATAATAGCTGTAACACTCAGCAGCCTAAGTTTTAGTTTCCCTGCTGAGCAGCTCTGGGGATCGAATCACAGAGGAGCCAGCTCTTCATAAGAGCTGTCTGTGGGAAATGAGAGCTAAGTTTGAAAGCTCCTTTATCCTTAAATTGTTTGCCAGTGAGGCAAAATGTCTACCTTTGAAATTTCCTAGAATTTGGAGGCAATGGTGTTTCATCAGCTTCTGCCACAGCTCTTCTGGGAGAAAACTGTCCCCAAATGCTTTCCAGCGTTTCCAGCAAAGAAGACAAGATATGGGTAGATGCACTGGATGTGTAAAAATCCCCCAGCAATGCAGTGGGAAGCCTGCTCGGGTCTGCACCGAGAGGTGGACACCTGGGAGAACCCGGTTGGTCTTACCAAGCTCTAATTTTTATGACTGTTTTTTCTTTGTTTCAGACTCTGTAGACACACAATCTCTGAAATGCATTCAGTGCACTGTTAATTTGTGTAAATCAGCAAAAAATTGTTATTCCGTCTCTATTTTGAATAGCAAGTCAAAGGCACTTGTACTGGTTGCATGCCAAAATACAACATAATTGTACAGCATGTATTGGCATTTATTAGTAGTACCACTTGCATTGAGTATTTCTCTGCCTCCTGATGCCAATTTTGTGTCATGAGATGGAGCAAATAATCTCCTTTCGTTCGAGTTTTTTCAGTGCAGCCCACCTCGTGAAAGGTGATCTGAGAGAAACTGATTTTCTTTGTTTGGGAGACAAGGCTGTCCACACAAATCTTAAGGGTTTGTGAGCATCTCGGCAGTGGAGTGAGGGAAGCTGATTTTCAGTCTGGATAAAATAAGCCCAGCCAGTTTCTTAAAGAGAAGTCTGTCAGATGACTTGGAAGAAATTAAACCTTTCAAGCAGGCATGCTTTCTAAATAGATTGAAACCTGCCTCTGATTCTTGATGATCTTATCACCATACAAAATAGGCTTTTATTAATTATGAAATACCCTGGTCATTGCAGTGGAGTGCAACAACCCGGTAATGTTATCTTACGCTTCCCAGTGTGTCGCTTACAGGGCAATTGTGGCTGTCATTTTTATTATTTGGAAAAGTTGGAGCGGGGTTGGAATTATTCAGTGACATGGGTGAAATTGAGAAATACTTGCCTACAGGAATTCTCTGAGCCGTCTGGCTTGATCAATAGGATCAAATGCCATAAGAGGCTTCAGCAGCAGTTTATTACTTGTGATGGTATTTTCATTGAGGGAGCCAGGCAAAAAGCTTGTCATGTTTTTATTACAGTCTCAGGTACCTAAACAGAAAAGCTGTTTTTAGGAACTGAAAGTGATAAATTGGATAGCCACTTCATTATGACTTGCTGGCCACCAAAGCGTAATGTGCTACATATAAAAAAGTATGCTGCGTTATACAGTCATATTTGGGTTAATATTTGTTTAGCAAATTTAAAGACCTTATCCATAATTGTCAAATTAATTTTTTTTTCCTCTCTGTTGCATATGTGAAGTCATTCAGAGTGTAACTGTGTTCACAACCAAGCGTATATCTTTGTGCTGAGGGCATCCTGTGTTGGCTTAGGCTGGTCCTACAGAATCTAATGCAGACAAAATTGAGCTGGAGCCGGTAGTGTCTCCAAGGTGCTCGCTGCAGACAGAGGCTACTGTCGGAAGTGTATGATAATTAAGCACAATAATTTTTTACCTGTTACTGAGAGAGGATGTAGATCCACTGGTGCTAAATACTCATCAAACCACTGAAAATGACAATTTCCACCGCCTTCCTAGGTCTGGTGCAGGAAATGTTTTGCCTTTATCATTAGTGATTATTAATTCATGTATTCAATGTACTTTCGACTGTTATTCAAACTTTAACAATGCACTCTTCTCTCACTTGACTGTCTGGCCTTTTTCTGAGAAGTGCTGTTGACTAGCTGGCTTGAGTGAACTTGGTCATCTATATTTATTAGACTGTAATGAAGATACAAGTCTTTGATTTAGCCAAACTTAGCCTCCAGTTACACTGGTATTCACCACGCTGACAGAACAAAACAAGGAAAAAACCAATTAACTGGACAGGTTTTTTCAGTCCAAAGACAGGTGGAATATATATCCCATCCCTAGTATCTGTTAAACGTAATTTGGGAAGATTAGATTGTAAAAATTTTTATTAAATGTCATTATTTGAATTTTACTGGATTTTTATTTTGTTTTAGAAGTGGTCATATTAGTTGCAAAGGTTCATTTATGGCAAAGGCATGTAGAGCTC